AATAAAAATACAAAAATATATAGCTTTAAGAGGGTTAGGCCTACCCTAAAATTAAGGAACGCTCGACCTCGACACGTGATATCGAAATGGGCGAAATCGCCTCTTGATATCACTAACTCTCCTGACTCCTGATGCAAGAGTCAGTTGTTGTGATCACGAAGCTCGAAGTGTCTCTGCAGGAGCAAGTGTACTTACGCTAAATGTATGCATGTCAAACAAACATTAAAGAACCCCAGACAATCAAATCAGGGTCTTCAAACTTCTCTTGGTGTACATGAAATAAATAGAATCGAACAAAATCAGACTACCGTACCTTTTGAGGATATAGCATGTGCTCAATTTTCTTGAAAAACTGACTGGCAAGTACCTCTAAGTTTCCCTAGAGGAAAAACTGGAAAAAAAACCTTTTATACCAGCCACCTGTCAGAACTGGCTGAATTTTAAAAGTCCCCCTCGTGGCCGTATTACACAGGTTTCACTGTAGTGCATACTTGTCCTGGGCCTACTGTTACATATTCTTATGAAACTGAAGGTGAATTAATTGTAGGCATGAAAAGCTTAGTTGAGCCAAAGTTCTTTGCAATTTTTGCTACAGTTTCACCAACTACTGTTATGATTCTTGGTAATTGTAATTTAAAAAAAGTAGATTCTAAGATGAGGGGCCTATTCTCAAGTGTAGCATCAGCTTATGTGCATTTGTACCTGTATGAAGAATGTACATGAGCATGAAATTTACTATCAGCGCATACATGATGCATATAGTTCGGAAACAGTTGTATCCAAGAGTCGCCCATGATTGCATGGAAATCCAACTTGTGTTGCCGCTTCAGATGCAAAACCTCCCATTTAACTGAGGTTTTTATACATGTACAAGTAACCTCATTAGCAGGGACTCAAAAATTGAGGTATGGTAGAGGATCCAGTTTGTGATAGGTGCCCATTTGTGAATAATTTCATACTTTCTGCCATACTAAAAAGACCCAAGCCAGAAATTCATACCCATGACTGCTCTATATTTTATGCATATCTAACCAACTGGTATCTGAATTGGTTGTTATTGCTGCTAACCCGTTTATAATCTTATATGGTGTCATTAAATGTTATAATTTCATCTTTCATTACAGATCATGAAGAGTGATGTCATGCGAATCTCTCATGAGCTTCAGGCAATGAAAGAGAAGATAAAGGAGAATACAGAAAAGATAAAAGTCAACAAGACACTTCCATATCTTGTGTCTAATGTGATTGAGGTAAGTACATTTCTCAAAATCATATATATGGAATTTTCATTCTGTTGACTGGCATTGTTCTTTCATTTCAAAGAAAAAAAATTTTTTTTGTCTTTTTTGATTTCCTCTATGCCACTGATGATGCTTATTTCTCCCCCAAATTGACTGTCTTATATGTGGATGGGATGTCTTGTAGCTTCTGGATGTTGATCCCCAAGACCTTGGGGAGGAAGAGGGAGCTAATATTGATCTGGACGCCCAACGAAAAGGGAAATGTGCCGTCATCAAGACTTCCACTCGCCAGGTACAACTATCATTGAATTTTTTTCAGTTCGGACCATGGTTAAAACTTCGCAGGACTATTGCATAGTACTTCTTTGAATTGGTAGTTTATATATTCTTCTCAGGAGTTGATGATATATATGAGGATTCTGTTCCCTTGTTTCTTCCCCCAGACATACTTTTTGCCTGCAATTGGGCTTGTTGATGCAGAGAAGTTGAAGCCAGGAGATCTTGTTGGAGTCAACAAAGACTCATATTTGATCTTAGAGACATTGCCAGCAGAATATGATTCCCGTGTGAAGGCAATGGAAGTGGATGACAGACCCAAGGAACAATACTCTGACATTGGAGGCCTTGACAAGCAAATTGAGGAGGTGTGTCCTTGCAGCTTTACCACATTCAAGCCTCTATTTTGGTGTCCATCAGATTCTTGAGTCCTTTGCTGTTCCTTTTGTGGCACCCATAGTTGATTGAAGCTGTGGTGCTCCCAATGACCCATAAGGAGAAGTTTGAGAACCTGGGGATCCAGCCACCTAAAGGTGTTCTGCTGTATGGCCCTCCAGGAACAGGGAAGACCCTTCTTGCCCGAGCATGCGCTGCACAGACCAAGTCTACCTTCCTCAAGTTGGCTGGCCCCCAGTTGGTGCAGATGTTCATCGGGGATGGGGCCAAGTTGGTTCGCGATGCTTTTGCTCTAGCTAAAGAGAAGGCCCCAGCCATCATCTTCATTGATGAACTCGATGCCATCGGTCTATCTTCTCTTCCATGCTCAATTCTATTCTTTGTTGCTTCTTTCTCGCAATCAAATTCACCAATTCTTTTTTTACTGCAGGTACAAAGCGGTTTGACAGTGAAAAAGCAGGTGACAGAGAGGTTCAGCGAACCATGTTGGAACTACTGAATCAGTTGGACGGCTTCACATCCCATCAAGACATCAAAGTAAGAGTGATTCTCCAATTCCTTGTCCTGTATTTCTTGTGGCTCCTTGATTTTGAAAGCAATGCTATCCATGCAATTATAGGTAATAGCAGCTACAAATCGTGTGGATATCCTGGATCCTGCTCTTCTGCGTTCGGGTAGGTTGGATCGGAAGATCGAGTTCCCTTGCCCGAATGAAGAGGCCAGGGCTCGCATCATGCAGATTCATTCCCGGAAGATGAACATCAGCCCTGAGGTGAACTTCGAGGAGTTGGCTCGCTGCACTGATGACTTCAACGGGGCCCAATGCAAGGCTGTCTGCGTAGAAGCTGTGAGCCTCACTTCCATTTTCCAGGGATGTATTTTCTGACTTGTATGAAGTATCACTGATCTTTTACTGCAGGGTATGATTGCCTTACGCCGAGGAGCGGCTCAAGTGATGCATGAGGATTTTATGGATGGCATTCTTGAAGTCCAAGCCAAAAAGAAGGCCAACCTTAATTACTATGCTTGAAGGAATGCAAAAGATATCTATGGAAAGAGAACTTCTCTTGTAATAAAATTCACCCAACTTTCATATTTTGTGGTTTCTTGGAAAAGATTCTTCTGATCTATTACTGCTTGCTTGACTTTTCTTACAAAGCTTTGGATATCTATCCAAATCTGCAATAGATAGGTGAGTAAGGTTTCACCTAATTCTGAAGAGCATTGCTGAAAGTTTCACATATGCATTTTTGTATGTGATGGTCACTGATGACTGTGTGAGGGGGGTCAGTTGATACGGATTTAGATATTTTTGTATCTAATTATGTTCAACACCTGCACTCCCAATTTCAACAAATTAATATTTTGGAAGTAGTAGTAGTGGTAGTTGAATTCAAATTCTATTCTTAGGATGCAGTAAGAATCAGATTTTATTTGCATATAATGGAAGTGGATTTGATTGGGTATTTTAATGGGGTGTTTCATCAGGGTTCATTTAATAGACGATGATTAACCTTTCGGGAAGCACACCAGAGCTTGAACACGATCCTACACTCAGAAAAATACAAGAATAATAATTTTGATGAAATTAAATTGCAAAAGGACTTGGTCTTCAAAATCCTGGGATTTTGAGTTGTAGGAAATGATGGCGTGAAGATGATGGATCATGCCAGGCATTTGTGTCACACTTCGCGAAATCTTCCTACCTGGTTTCAATCAAGGTGCCCCAATGTCTTCAGTAGTCAAGAGGACAGAAAGAGACTTTCACAAAACCTAGAAGTCCATTCAACTGATGAGAGAACTGTAACTCATTTTTCTTTATTAGTCGGGAAAAAAAAAGTAAGTGACTTCTGTACACGGTTGTGGCTACATGCCACGAAAAATATGAAACCCATCTGACCCACAATCTCCCAAGCTAGGCTGACTTTCTCACCCTTTCCATTAAATACCGAACGAATGCGTGTCACCTTGCTAGGAAAGGCAAGTCCAATGATATGCCTGGTTCACATTCCTGATGCCCCGCCTTTCCGTCAGGAACGTCGCAGAAGCTCGCAATTCGTTCCAAAGTTTCATATGAATTCATCGATCCAGTCCGATGCAAGGAAATGCGTTTGGAATCCACAATTCAACAGATCCATTTCGCTCGGAGCCCGGGGAGAGGATGCATTCGTTAGTTCTATGTTTTCGCCGTAAGATGCCACCACTGTCCAGGCACTGAGGTAGTGCCATGGCGATCATTTAGAAAGGAAAAGGAGAAAAGTAATGCGTACTTGCATGCAGCTTCATTTTCTGCGCCGATCGAAACTCGAGGTTAATGGAGAATTCCCAGCCCGCGTTTTCGACATTCAACCGCTCCGCAGCAATTTACAAATGAATCCAATTTTACCAAATTTACGAATGAATCGCCTTTAACTCAAGAGCTCAAGGGAGCTCGACTCTGTAAAGGTCCTCTTGGATGCACCAATGCATCTCTCAGGCACGATGCAAATAGTTGCACACATTCATTCGTAAATCACAAAATTTGGCTCACTTGGTATTCAATTCGGAACAAACCACGGGACGTCGAATTGCGATTGAAGTTGGGGAGAAAAAAAAAATCCGACTATCACCCCTGGAAAGCCAAATCATCCTGGTCATGTCTGCGTGGTGGTTTATTCGTAAAAGTTGTTCTTCGAAATGAAGTCATCGGTTCGCTTGCCCAACAGCTGCTTCCTCTAGCTAATGCCGACTCACGAGTTTTGCTATTCTATTCTTCGCACGGTGACATCGGCATCGTCATGCAACCAAACCACGTGCCATACAAGATGCCTCACCCTTTTATATGGGGTCGGGCCCATTTTGTCGGGAAGAAAGCTGTAGCCGCTGGAAAGGGCAGAAAAGCGTATACATTCTTCTGTAACACCCTCTATTGTGGATCGCATGACATCGGCCACATTAACCCAAACGTACCATTCGTTTGGAGCTCACGGAGGAACAAAACACACGAGTTCCCAAGTGAAAAACCTGTAGGATCCAGAGAAACGCGCTCATACCAATGGATCATACCCGCCGAGACACGGAAGACCCCAAAGGCTTGGAGACTCCACCGCCTCTTAACCATTAAAAGATTTCCGAAAATTAGCCGAGCGGAAACGAGAAAGACTCAAGTTTCCCTCTCTGATACGAGGTTTTGCTTCTGGACAAAAGCGATCGAGCGAAGGAGTGGCCCGCTGGTTACATCTATGTTTTCACGAGACAACTAATAATTGGGAATGCAGCTCGTAGATGTCGCCTTATTCCAGCGTATGCCACAGCCGGATGCTACGGCGGGTTCCATGGTTTTGGTGACTAGTGCTTCGATGCCGCCTGCACAGAAATTTTTATTTTCGATCCTACGCATTTTTTTTTTTTAGCCGACGTATGGTATTCCCATTTTTATCGTTTCTTCGAGTTTCGATCCTATACGATCAGATGCCATGCGGTATCCTGCAACAGATAAACGTGTGAACGTTCGTGTTCTGCGTTTCCTGTGCGACGTGTTTTCTGCGGATCGACTAAAGTTTTTGGCACGCCATTACTAGATTTCACGCAACGTGACAATCCCCGTAGCAACAGGCAGGCGAAAGAGGAAATTAATCCGCGTGAGGGTGGAAGGACACCATCATGACTGCAAAGTTGCATCAAATCGACAACGCAAAGTGGTTCAGGCCGTGATCACACAGCCGCACGGCAACGCAGCGAGAGAAAATCTCTCAGCCGGATTTCCGCCCGTCCCGCTCAGAGCGAAGAACGGATTGAACAGAACCCCATTCCGAGTTCTTCGAGATCGGAGATTCTCCTTCAAAGAACTCCTGCCGCGGACTGCATCCAAGAATCGAGAATGAAGGAAAATCACTTCAGTCCTGGTGAAATCTCGTTACGACGAAATTCGTCACTACGAATAATTCAGTACAACGAACGCTTTTTCTCAGTCCTCGTACGTATAATACTCACTCGTGTTAACAAAAAAATATCTAATCGAGTGTTAGATATTTTTCGCTAGATCGTCTGTGTTTCCTTCCCTTTGGACCTCGAGAGAGTCGCAATTCTGTTTCCCACGCTCGCGGCATAAAAAGCGCCAGCGCGAGGAGGAACGTCCAGTCGTCGGCTGGTCGTGGCCGAAACCTCATCGCTCACGACACAGTGGGCCTGTGCGATCCACGTGGTTAGCGGGGGAAACAAGAAACGCCGAGTTTTCGTCGGAAGAAATAATGAAAGTAGGGGAAGCAGTAGATTCCGACAGGAGAAAAGGAGACGCGGTTAAAGAATTCGGCATCTTTCCCTCTGTTTTCCTCGTTCTTGAAGAATCGTGCCAAAATTGAAGAAAAGGTGAGGAAAGCGGCTCTGGGGGCAAAACGAAAGAGAAGGCGTGGTGCGCTCTACGATGACATTCACAAGGCAACACAAGCTCTTGTGCAATTCAAAATTACAGATTTTCTCCAAACGAAATAAAGTGGGAAATTACTGCATCTGTGGCCTGCAGCTTGGTCAAGGCACAGCCAATTTGAATTAAGAATGTTTCTTTTGAACTTATTTCAAGAAATATATATATACAACGAAATAATCTGGACACCCCTTGAAGTTCGTTTTAACGAGTTTCGACCCGTATTGATTGATGCCTTGAAAGTGAGGGCTTTAAAGCCCTTCGAAGGCATATACAGGGTTGTGCAAAAGTTCCCGTGCACTTCGATTAGCGCTTCGATTCTCTTTAGGCGTCATAGCTCCAGAGAAAAAATTTCAAATGAAGACTGAAATTTACTATAATGAAAACATTTCGTATCACAAATGTCCGTAGAATTAAAAAAAAAAACACATCAGAATGGCCAAACATCCGTTGATTAGTGAAAAAATTAGATTTTGAAAGTGTACGGGAACTTTTGCACGACCCTGTAACGTTCGCTTCCCAGTGCATGTTCATTTCGACCCCCCTCGGCCCACTCGTTTTCCCTTTGCTCCATCCAGTTCTATCGACTCCGACGAGCAACTTCGAGGATCATTCGCACAACTGGCTTTCCTAGAGCTTCGAGAAGCAGAAGCTAATTCTATTACTATTTCCAGAATTCTCTAGAGATGTTGCTTCTTTTTCGTTTCGATTCGCGTTAGGCACGGTCTAACGCGATTGCTCCCACCCCCTCCCCCCGCCTCTGCCCCCAGAATCTGTTTTT